CTTAAACTGTTTGAATGATCATGGCAGCTTGTTTGAAACAACTCAAATTCTTTTGTAGGTTAAAGTTCATTAAATTGGTTAGGAGGTGGCTAGCAGAGCTGGATAATATACTTTCAAAACACTGTCTGAATACTTGTGTGAACAAAACTATGAATTGTATAGACCAGTGGTTTTCAACTTTTATAGACTTAAGCACCCCTTTTTTCCTTTCTCCCTGCCTCCCTAAAAAAACAAAAAACAAAAAAAAAGAAGCTCTAAGCTTTCACTCATTTTTTTGATCCTGGAAAAATAATACAGCAATTCTTCTGTAGCAAAGAACTCACAAAGACCATAAAAGGTCAGAATGTTTGACACTATTAATGAAATCTCTGGATCTTGTGTGGATGTTTGCTCACCTAATGGTGTTAATATTGCATGGCACCCCAGGGCCCCCTTAAAAGGATCATCTTTGAAACCCTGGTTGAGAATCATTGGTGTAGACAGTGTTTTCACCTCTTTTCAATATGTGTCTTCTTTTGCACAAGGACAATCATAGAAAATTAGTTCAAAGAACATTCCATGCCAATATGTATTTGCACAAGTTTGTCTGTTTTTTTTACCAAAAGTGCAGACATTGCCATGTTTGAAGTCTGATTTCCTTCCCTCTATTTGTAAGTGGTTCTATAATCCACTCATAGAGCATAAGAAATGGCTTAAGACTTAGGTGACCTATTCCTATGCCTCAAATAGTAAATAGTCTAGACATAGCCAAATTGAACAGTTCACTCCTGGATTGAATCATATTTACATGGATAGTCATATTTATATAGGAAGAATATGTATAGTATTTAAATTATTTTTGTAGATTATTCACAAATAGAAGGGATAAGTTTACTAAATAGGTCATTTGGTATGACTTGCTCACCTAAATCTAGTACCTATGATGTCTTGAAGCCTAGCACAGATGATTGTCATTAAGGTAGGGTGATGGCTTTCATGACGTCAGTCATCAAATCATAAAGTATCAGTACTGGTTGCTGTACTAGAGGTTGGGAGCCACAGTCAAATACGTGAGATAGCTTTGCAAATCGAATGTACAGCTAGCTATTGTAGTGAAATTAAATACTACATCCATGCCCAGAATGAATTCACTGACTCCATCTAAACAAACTCTTATGTATATAGCATGCCACAGGTGTGGGCACATGCGCGCATGTCTCACTGATTATCTTGTGGGGCCTTGCCAGCTACAACATATTAAACACACAGATCAAAAATACCAACCTTCTCTCAGTTCTCTTCAGCAAATGGGTCACACAATAGCAAAAACACTTTGCATAGACATTTCTACCTAAAATTACACAATTTGAAATCATATGGCAGCCTTTTATTTAGCAAAATTTTAGTGACTTTACTATTACAGTAGCCACACAGGTTGCCTAAAATACCTGTTATAGCTGGAGAAAATAGCAAATATACAGAATATAGATTGGAATTCCAAAAGGTGATTATAAAAGGGGTTGGAAGGGAGGATGTAGATCCTTATATAATGATTGTACTATGCTGTCTATCATCAAGCATCTGATTCATCTCTTCATTGCAGAATAGAAATGTTTTCATACCATTTTTGAAACTGTACACTCAAAGACTCCTTCAGCTCAGGGATGGTGGGTATGATGATATGCACAAAGGAAAGGATTACAGACTTCTCTCCTAACATCAGCAGCCAACTTAGTGTAACCCTAAGTTTTCCAAGTTTAAATTACAAGCCCACATTTAATAGCAATTTCCATTGGTCCCTTGTGTGGTCACTGTAGCAAGCTTTCTCTCTGATTACCTTCCCTCTCAGACAAGCTTTGAAGAACTAGCCTACATGTTTTTTTTTTTTTTCATGGAGCCTTATTATATTTGTCTAGTCTTCTTCCTCTGTGTTATGAACTTTTGCTTGTCCCATAGGCTCAGGAGAAAAAGTGAGCCAAAGTGGAAAAAAAACAACAACAACAAAAAAAAAACCTTGGAGAATCAAATCCCACCATTGAACTGGCAAGAGATCCAAAGCTCTTGGCACACAGAGGAGTCAATGGAGCTGCTGGAATGCAATGCGACTTTCAGAGCAATATCATGTTTTTAATGTAGCATGATGGTCTATGGAATATGTGTAAAGTTTAGAGATGCAGAAGTGATTCCAAGTGACAAACTGAGAGAGCAAAATCTAGGCCCAAGTACTACTTATTTTGGAAATAATCCAAAAGGGCTCTGGATAAAAGAAGAGGGAATGAAACACATGGGGGAGATTTGTTTCCATTCAAATTCCTTAACAAATCAAAGGCTTAATTAGTGCTCAAGTATATGCACCTAAAAAAATGTGACTTTGAATTGTTCCCCACCCCCCAAACTGAATTCAGTTCATAGCATGTCTGAGGAATGATCTTTCTCAGTTACTATATTATTTCCTCTTATTTCTGTACACTGAACTTATTTCCAGTCATTAAAACAACCTGGGCCTGATCCAAAGTCCCTCAAAACCAGGAGACTTTTAATTGAGATAAATGGATTTTGGATCAGCTGTTTCAAAGCACAACAAATCCTAAAGAATTTGGACATTGGTTTTCAATAGAGGCAAGGATTAGCATGTCAGAAGTTCAGGCTTTATTCAAACATGATAGGTGAGCAAATTTGTTCTCTTACAAGAGAAAGTGACCTGATACCTGATAAGTATCATGGCAACCTGATAAGCACTAAGTATTCTCATCTTCCATTGAACTTGGCCACACGTGTCATATTTCAGTTGGATGAATGCAAATCTATGTGATATTTTGGGGATCTTTTCAGAGGAATTCTTGCTAATATGAATAGTGGGCACTCAGATTTACTGCTGTGGGTTTGCATTTTTCCATTTTCAGAAATGACAGGGAAAACCCTATAAAAACAGTACTTTAGGAAAACAAAACAAAACAAAAACAAACAAAAAAACCCTTGTTGGAACCATGAAATACAGAGGCAGGTTTAAGTGACAGATGGGGAACAGAGCTATTCCAACTTGCATGCACGTCAGAAGTCCATTATGAGTTTGGGTCTGAAGCGTTATACTCATATTATCTGAACTGTCTTGGCCAATCCCTAACAACCCTATTTTAATATGCACTTATATCCTTTACTACAAGACTACCTAGGAACCCACATTCCTTAAACAGCTTCGACAGCAAAGTGGTTAATGTTTGAAGAATGAGTCATTCTTTCCTTTGCCATGGCATTGGGTTCTTATTGTACAACCCTGTACAGTACTTCAGCAATATATTTTTAAAGATTTAAAAAGCAAAAAGTTACAAAACCATTTGCAATTAACTTGAAATAGAAAAGATAGCACTTTTTTTAAATCCCATTATATAGTACACCGTATAAATTACAGAGTATTCAAATGCACAAACGCATCTGTGTAACATTTATCAAATGTAATTTTTGTGTTTGTGTGTGGGTTTATTTTTTTTCCAGAGTTTTTAGTCACAGTTCTACATGCCTCTCCCCTCACTATCACGTATGACAGTGCTCCAATTCTGAGACGTTGCTGTTGCAGTATCTCATGTTGTTGGGGATGTGGCAGTCTGTGTAGTTAATGCCCCCATTTGGGGTATAAATGGGCTGCAGTCTGAAATCTCCTTTAAGGAGTTGATCGTTATTTAAGGAGACAATCTGGAAGCTGGTTTCCGTCATCTCCAGGATGGAGTTGTCCTTCTTGGTCCCCGCCTCGCAGTAATCATCTTTCCGCCGGCCCCGGTTATATTTCCACTTCTGAGAGGTGTAGCGTCCCTTTTTGTGCATATGCCAACAAAAGATGCTGAGCAAGACCACAAGGACAAATATCACTGCCCCCCCAATCAACCCTGCCAGCAGAAATGGGGAGCCCATGTTTTGAGAAGTTGTCTGCTCATGGCTGGAGGCTGTGTTGCTGCCATTGTTTAAATAAGAACCCTTGGTTGTGGCTTCTGAACAGACAGTGTCTTCTCCAGCCCAGTAATTATTATAAGCATACAGTGGAACCAAACAAATCCGATAAGTGGATTTGGGCTCCAGATTTACCAGGCTTAAGTGTTGTTTCTCACCACTAACTTTCTGTTCCTGAACAATGCCCCCTACTGGACTGTGGCCCATTTTAACCCATGTGAGTTTGTAGGACATGACAGTAAAAAAGGACATCCAGTTAACTTGAATACAAGTGTCATTCACAAAATGAATGAAGAGTTGAATCCGTTCAGAAATGGGAGGTGTCACCCTTTCTTTGTCCTCCCTGGTAGGCACAGTGGGGAGCGTGGAAGTGGCGGGTGTGAGAGGGGTGTATTTGCTACTCAGGGTTGGAATTGATGAAGTAGGACCCAGTGTGGTTGGCAAGGTTATACCAGGAGCTGGGGTGACAAGTGGCAGACCAGGAGTGGTGGTTGGGCATGACAACATATTCATATTGAGCTCCCTGACTGCCATACCTCGGACCTGTTCTGGTCCCTGGCACATAAAGCCCCGGACATTGATGGATGAGGGAATAAATTTGAGCCACTCAGTGACCCATTTAATACTGCAGTCACATAACCAGGGATTATTCCTCACAGTAAGTTGCTTCAGGTTGTGGAGGTTATCAAAGACCCCTCTCACCAGCATCCGGAGATAATTGTTAGAAATATCAAGCCGCTCCAACTTGTGAAGGTTTGAAAAGGCTGTAAGTGGTATGTGGTTTATCTGGTTGTCCTGCAGGTAGAGCCTCAGCAGATGTGTACCTGGAAGATCAGGGGGAGGGTAAGTTAGTGAATTCCGTACTATTGAGAATTCCTTGAGATTCGATAGGTGGCTGAAGGTGCCCTCAGCAATGCCTTTATTGGTAAGGAGATTGCCATCCACAATCAGACGTTCCAAGCTTGTAAGATTCTGGAAAGCCAAGTCTGAAATAACGGCAATTCTGTTTTCATCAACTCGTAGTTCTTGTAAGTCCACTGGAAGGCCTACTGGTACACTGCTTAAATGATTCTTGGACAAAAACAGAAGCTTGAGGCTGATAGCTTCACGAAATGCCCCATCCTCAACACCTACAGTAGAGATGGAGTTGTCATCCAGATGCAGCTCTTCCAACTTCAAGAGCTGAGCCAGGGCAGCCCGAGAAATAGTCTGAATGTTGTTTTCCTGCAGGTGGAGAACCCTGACATTCTTGGGCAGATTCATGGGAAATTCATCCAATTGGTTGCCATATAGGTAGACCGTGTGCACAGACTGGACATTATGCAACTCTGCAGGGAATCCAGCATTATTAATTTGGTTATTGTGGAGGTAGAGTACGGTTACACCCTCCGGTATCCCAAGAGGCACTGAGGTCAAGCTTCGTTCATTACAATAGACAAAGTTTCGGTCACAGCGGCACACTTTTGGACAGGCCAGAGTTTTGGAAACCTGCATGTAGAGCCCCAAGGAAAATATGAGCCATGATTTCAGGAAAACAGCCCCATCTGAGGGCCACATTCTAGTCCATGGGCCCATTTCTAACTTAAAAGAAACAAATTTCCAAAGAAGGAGAAATAACAACAATGCTAAAGCACAGGTAGGAAAAATGTAGGTTGTTGAAATTGGTTTCTATTTGTGTCCAGTGTTCGGGCAAGAGGTAAAGTCTTGGAAGCTAAATGCAAAATAATCCTTTTATAATTGGCCTACCTCTTGCTTTTCATAGGAAAGCCACAGTCTTATTAGCCAGGGTTACATATTTTGCTGCCTTCCTCCATGTGTATTGAAAGAAGCAAGAGCTGTGCCTTTGCAGGGTAGCAACAGTATATGTAAAGCTACCAAAAGCTGTCTGCATGTAAGTTGGTAGGGTAGGCCAATACTTCCTTTCTCTGCAGTGAAGGCGTGGTGCACTCAGCTTTCTTCAGTCTACAAGGTCTTCATTTCAGCCTGGTGCAGGATCTAAGAAGCCTGTTAAAAGTAAGAGAAGAAACTGAATAATATGAAATGTTCACCTGAGGAGAACAAGCTTTTGAAAAATCTTCTGTGTACAGGATGTAGTTATTATGGCATTTTGATAATAGATATAACTATTAAACAATGGATTGCTACTACTACAGAAATGTTCTCATCATGGATTTGATCTAGAATCCCTTGAGGTAATGAAGAGACTGATTTCAACGAAGGTTGAATTGATCCCTTTTTTTTATATAAACCTTTTGTCCTACCAAAATCTACTTAAAATATTAAAACTTTTAAGTTTTACTAACAATTGTTAGAACTTGTAAAGTTTACTAGAAATGTTAGCATAAGTACTTTCTCCATTTGGGGGGAAAAAGGATTATTCTCACACCACTGAATATGATGAAAGTTATAACATAGATGTTAGTGGGAAAAGGATGTGGCCTAAATGATTTAATCACATTGCATGTTCTTTCTTTCCACTTAATCCTCTTCTATGAGCTGTTCTGTTTCTGTTATTCCATGCTGCCCTGCACATTCTCTTCTGTTCCATTGCCCAAATCTTAATTATTGTACCTAATGTAAATGGATTAGCTGCCTATGGCCTGACATTTCTATTAATGCCATTATCAGTGAAATTATTAATAATGATGGTATGTACCATGCAATCATTAAACTTCAGCATTAAAATTCCTTAGAAAGGAATAAGGTTGTTTGCTCCTATCAGAGCTATGCTTTCAGCGTGTCAGCAAAACAATAGCATCTGATATTTACAGGTTTGGATTGATTAGCAAATTCCTTAGTCTTAACTTACATGACGTCTTGAATATACCTTTCTCTCCCTTGTTTGTGTCCCTTATTTTTCTTTCTGATATTATTTATTATTCAACTTTATATCTGGTGAGCCTCATGTCCCAGTTGCTGCCCTCAGGAACCCTGTGGATCTGGAGTTTACTCTGTTTAGGAGCCAAAATATTATAGTCTTATGATGGGAAACCTTGTTCTTCTTGTATATCATTATACTTATTTGAAAGCTCATCAGGTATTACCCCAAATCTCAAACAGTTGGAAGCAAAAAACAAGCACTAACGTAGTCTCGTAGCCTATTATTATGCATCCAAATGGTACATTTACCTTATGTCTGTACTGTATGCTGTGCTCCTATAGAAATCAAAAGATTAGCAAATGCACTGCTCAAGGCTTTCCTCTCCAGCAGACCTCTTTCAGTTAAGAGTCATTGCTTTCCAATTATATAAAATGACATGATACCGTAGAGAAACTCTAACAGGATTCTAACATGAGTTGAAGCATGACAGTTCATCCTCTTTTAATATGGCTGAACTCCCATCTAGATCATATTGTCCTGATTGGTCATGACATTTGTATTTAAAATGACAAAAGGACTTGCAAGGCCTTCTTCAAGATACTTGGGACCACACAGAATGGCAGTGGCTTCCTTACTCCTACTCTGTGATTAGAAATACCCAGTGTGTCTCAGTAGTATCTAAGGAAAAGAACAAACTGTAACATATTATACTGTCACTATTACTTCAATTGCTGAAAAGATAAGTCTTAATTCAACAGGCATTCTGGACAGCCCATTTGAGGAAGGGTTGCCAGATAACCACATGTCCTATATGTCCAGGAAGGATACAGTGGGCTCATCTACACTATTTTAATGCACATTAGCCTATTTTAATGCTCATTAAAACATAACAAAAAAGTGCTCCTTATCTAATGGCTATACATTACAATAGGCTAATGCACATTTTTCTACTATCTCACAATGGAGATACTAGATTTAATGTGCATTACCTAAAGTACATTAATGAGCATATAGGTGCATGTGATTCTTCCCTAGAAAAGTGTTTCAGCGCACCTAGTGCTAGTCATTATATATTAAACTGAGAAGATCTTTGACTGTCCAGTCACTTGAGGACCAGCACTGCTGCACTCATGAGACGCAAGTGCTCTTGGGTTTATCTCTTTATTTTGTTTGTCAGGTTTCACATTCATAAATCTTTTTAAAAGTTTCTTGAAACATGGTTTTTCATCTCATCCTGCTGAGGAAGTGAGTCATTTTATTAATTCCAGGATCCTAAACTCCAGCTAGCAATGCTTAATAAACTGAGACTATAAAACTCAGAATACAGAAAATAGGTATTGTCACTCCATAACCACTGTTGATTGTATTAGCAGCAGCACAAGGACAAATCTAATCAAACGTTTATGACTTCACTGTTAACTATAGTGTGAACGAGCAAAAGGATAAGAACAAGGATGCAAGGAAATGGTTGTTCTGCAATGTATTCTTAGCATTATAATAATAAAGTATACTAATAATAATTTCAATTATTACTACTTAATGAGTAGTACTTAATGAGGATACTTACTATTAGTAGTAATATTCATATTGTTATTACCCACCATCCAAATACATGAGAGCTGCTCCATATAGATCCATGTGTATATTTGTTTGCCTCTACCCAAAACAGCATGATATCTAAATCAGATTTACCCATTAAAGAGTCAGGAACTTTCCTTGCTTAAACATGGCAATAATGCAGAAGATGTAATCAAAGTGCAGTCTACCACTAGGCCATGATTTTTTGTATCCAGTGGATGCATGAAGTGATCAAAAATTATAGACTAAATATAGACAATGGATTTATGGCACATTATAACCTGTCTGCCATCTGATACCCCAGGTAACCTCTCTACAATTTACCACCTACATTCCATCACCAGATCACCATTCCCCTTACCCACCCCGCACCTCTCTCATCCATTGTCTCTCACCCCCTCTGACACTCACTGCCATGCATTTGCATTTTCACTGACCTAAATTCTTTCATACTGGATTCCATCCCATCCAGGAGAGCACAATACAACTACAGATGCTCCCTCTGCCTGAAGAAGGGTGGTTGTAATCGAAAGCTTACACAGGAGAATATTTCCAACTATTTTAGTTTGTCTAATAAAAGATATCACATTTACGCAAGGAACCTTGTCTGCCTATGTCCTTATGCCAAGATAGCTACAACCAACACCCCTGAAAGATGGAACGTACAAGAAATTAGCTGACTATCTGCAAGAGAACTGCGAACATTTGGATTTAGCATGCTGGGAGGGAAGAAAATCCTGACACACATTATTATTAGCTCCTCTGATGTTATTTAAATGAAAGTTGTGATCTGAGTGAGGGCTGTGGCACAGGGGAATGGGTTAGATTTATGAATTACAAATGCCTTTGGTTTGCAAGACCCAGTCATTGGATTTGAAGACATAAGCCTCTGACAGGAAGACAATCAGGTTGAACTGTGGAAGGGAAAGAAAATCTATTGTATTTATCTTAAAAGAGAATGATCAACAAAATTATACCTCACACATAATACATGTGCCCATAATCACTTAGATTAGTGTTTCTCAACTTGTGGGTCGTTCTCCCTCCTCCCTCCAGCCTGTGTCAGGCCGGACTCATTTCGTTACCACCCACATGAGATGGAGCTGCCTCAGCCTGCACTCTGCCTCAAGTGGGACAGGGGCAGCTGGGGGTGTAGGGGGAGGCAGGGGGCTGCGGGTCAGGAATGATGGGCCCCAGCATGGCCGGAGGTGGAGGCGGGCAGGGGACTGTGGGTCGCGCACTAGCAGGGTCAAGCACCAGCAGGGCGAGGGGGTATGGGTTGGGACAGGCCATGGACCTTTGCAAATGGGTCCCCGTCGGAAAAAAAGTTTGAGAACCACTGACTGTTTCATCTTCTACAACCCCGGATAATTTATCTTTCTCATTTTAGATTGTGCAGTCTGTGGCTTCTATAAAGTATCTAGCACATTTCAGACCCTATACAATAGAAATAATAAATAGTAATTAGACTCAAGGGTCACATAATAAGGCTGAGTGACCTAGTTTGAAATAGATGAGACTACATGCCCACATTCAACAGATACCTTCATTTGAAAATTGTGGCTTACAATCCTGATTTGGTATCCATGGAAGTCAAAAGAAAAGTGCCCAACTGCTTCTTGAAAGATGCTTGCATTGTCTCCTTTCAAATACCCCTCCTTAAAATTTCCTTTTTGTTATGACTAATGTTGGCTGGAGCGTACCAATTATGTTCCATGACAGCCTTTAAGGTTTCAAAATCTGCTTTTGCTCTGCATTGGAATAAGCCCTTTATAACGTTTGGACAAAATATATTTGAGTGGAAATATCTATTTTTGGATTGAAAAGATGAGGTTTGTATTTGAATTTTTCTCACTCTCTCATTAGATGTGACCAAAGAGCTCTACATCTCACAAACATTCCCATTGAAAACTTCATCAAAATCAATACGGAGATGTATTCCACAAAACACATTTGCTTCAATGGATCAACATAGTTCAACAGAGATATATTTGATTGAAAATGTTCCAAGCAGCTCAAGCAAAAAAACTATGCAATAATTAGGCAGCAGGTGGGCTAAGACCACTGTCTAGCTTGCTGACAAATATTCCTGCATATTTTTGTGTTCTTGGATAAGTCTGCCTGTCTCTCTTTTCTCTTGTTTCATGCTTGAGTTACAAGCTTTTTCTGATCTGAAACCATATTTTTGTACCATGCAAGTAGAGTTTCTAATGCACTGGGATTCTGGTTCAGAGACAGGATTCTTGAATACAACAGAAATAATAATAAAAATAGTAACAATAGCAATGAAAATAGGAACCTAGGAGTTCTGACCCCTTGTCTGCTATAGTATCTACTCAGCAGCAGTTTGCCTAGAGATGCTAACATTTTTCTAAACCTGAACCTTGCCCACTATAAGTGAAAATGTAAGCAACAACATAAAAAAAAAGACAACAATAATCTTCCCTTCTGTAGAACTGTTACAAATGGTTCAATCCAATTGTGCATAAATCTATGCTAAATAAATCTATTCCATTTTCCAGTAGAATAAGGTTATTATCAGGTCATAATTTTCCCCACAATTTTAGCATGGATGGTAAGAACAAGGCTACTATTCACAGAACTG